TTACAGAATGTCTTGCCATTTTGAAACAGTTATGGAATGAATTTCAAGCTAAGGACAAAAATACTGTACATCAAAAGTCTGCAGCTCACATCCAGACAAACACATAGAGTCACTTTGTGATTCATGCACCAAGTAAGGCTCCTATATATTATATAGGCCTTCAGGCTGCTAACTGAATCAGAGTGCTTCACTGTCTGAGTCGGACTGTTCTCCTCTCTATCTGTTTTTAGACACTTTGGAAGCATGAAGAGCAAGCATCCGGGCGGGAGAGTGGCTGTGTTGTGCTGAGCTGAGACTCGACAAAGCAAGCATTACATGAACAGGACAGAGGTGTTGGAGAGAAATAGCCTAATGGATGTACACCAGGCTCCAGGACACATTGTAATACAGTTCAATTGAGGCAGAGTAATGACTGAATAATTGAGGAGTTCACTCCAAAATGAGACATCGCTGCATTAGTTAAAGTTGGCAGCTGCTGTTGCAAAGTAATCGAGCATTAAATTTAAGCACATTATAGGCTACCGGGTTACCATTAAAGTTAGGGGTCTTTTTATGTCTCTGGCTTAGAAAACAGAGCTTTTTTTTATGGAGATGAGTCAGCAGATAATGAATATCTGGTTGCATTTTCCTTTCCATCACAGATTATACTTTCCCATTCTGACAAGAATATTTAAAGGAAAATCAGATATGGTATGGTGGTATATGGTATTTCTTAACAAAAACAAACCACATGAACAAACCATCCTGATAAAGACCCCTTGGAATTGTTTTTGTTTGTTGGTATTTTCATAAATCTGTGATAAGGTAATATTGCGATAAAATATTCAAGCTTGAACCCTAATATTTGATAAGAACATTACCCATGATTAATGTGGAATATGTGTTTCGCAAAATAGTACATGAGAACATCTTGTAATTATGGTGATTTATGTACCTATTAAGAGTCACAGGTGGGAGCCAAAAAGACGGAGGAAAATATGGAAGAGTGCAGGTGATTGAGTGAAGGATGTGCCGAAATAGTAAGGGATACATGTTTTATCTCTGTCTGTATTTTAAAAGGAAGGTGGTAACCTTGATGTGATGGCAAAAGATGCTTTGAAGGGGAGATATTCAGATGGCTGTTGGAGAAGTGGAGAAGTATACTTAACGTATCGAGAAAGGACTGAGCCTGTGCAAAATGATTCATCTTTATTTTGTTTTTCATATAACAATGTTCTTGATCATCCTATCACAATATTTCTTTGTACAAAAAAAATAATACTGATTCTGTTATCATCTTGTGCATGACCCATAAGCTCTGACTGTAAGCATATGTCATCATTTAGCTTGAGCACAGAGCACTTAGTAAAATAATCACATCAGACGGATCAATCAAGTTGTACAGAAGAAATCTGTGGGAATCAAGATCCTGGGCGAGATAAGCGAGCGAGCGAGTGAGTGAGTGAGTTCTGACTGCTGGCATGGGAAAGCACAAGTGACTGTGTGGGCTTTTAAATGATGACGCTCAGAGCTCTTTTTTTTTCCCCTGGAGAATAATGGGCTGAAATGTGGAGAGGCTGAACGCTGAGGACTGCACACAGAGCAACACGTCTTTCCCGGAGACACACACAAGCCAGCGGTGTCTCCCAGCCGTCCCTCTGTGCACACAGAATGAATATTTTTTTCAATTTGAGGGGAAGCGTTGTGAGGCAAATAGCAGAGGAAAGAGCTGTTCCAGGTATGTTTGAACAGGACGAATTACAAAGAGATTGTGAATTCCTAGAAGTTACCAAGACTTTGCATGCACTGTGTTTACTGTATCACTGACATTGGACGAAAATGATCACCAAAAAAATAATAAATATTTATTTGATGTGGTTTAAATGAATGCAGTTTTTATAGGTAAATATCTCTACAGCACATTTAAAGCCTTGATTTGACAGAACTGTTTAAACTAACTGATTTAAAACTGCCATCACTTCAATATTTTTTTATTCAGCAGTATAAAGGTTGCAGCTTTCACTTTTCTTTTTTTTATAACTACCGTACTTGAATCTGACTGACGAGGACAGGAAGGAGGAATACTGGCATTTAACATCGTTATATTTCTTGTAAAACACAAAGAAGCAGTCCCATTCGTCTACAGTCGTGCATCTTTGCACACAGACCAGCCTGACAGTGTTTAGGACAAATTAAGACGAAGCAGCATTAAGGATCTGTTATTAGGTTATTCATTCCACTGAAAGCCTTTTTATTCGGAGTTTCCTGTCGGCATCAAACGCATCAGTTTCCTTAACGTTTGTACCGAATCATGCTGAAGATGCCCGGTAGGTGGCGAATCACCCGTGGGTGACTCCAGGTTGGAAAATGAGCTCCGTTCCCCTCCTGCTTCGTCTTTGGGAGGAAAATGATGCTGATGCTGTCAGGGAGGCATGGGCGCCAGCAGGGAGTAGAGCACGCTTACATTATGTCCTTATTATACAGCTGTTAGCTAATATGGAAGAAGACAGTCAAGAAGAAATTCAATGGAAGAATAAGTGGTACATACATTGATTTTTTATTTTTTTTTCCCAGACCACTGTTTGTGACGTAGGAGCGGCTAGAAATGGTTGCACGGGATGGCGAGTTGATAACAAGGAAGAAAGCGTATCAAAAAAAATCAAGTTCATATTCGGCAGCAATGACTAAAAATAACGCTTCTTCTTCCTCCTCCACTGGGCAATGTGGTCCGTCAATACGAGCAAACAAAGTTGTTGCTAAGCGACGATGAGGTCTCTCAGTTACGGGTACCAGTTTTTTGGGCCGGCGTGTTGATATTATAAAGAACCTCGTCAGGTGTCGATAAACCACAACAGTGCGCGTCAGCCAATCAGCGTTCATGACCGGGACTTTCTTTGATTTACCTGCAGGCTTAAGTTAATGACATTAGTCCTCTGTTTGCCCCTTTGACCGTCGACCTCCCCTCGCCTTCTGTAAGGACAGTTTCTAATGATGACAGAGGCTCCGGAGGCGCGCGTTGAGGGCACACATCCTCTGTCACACTGGCGGTGCTGCTGTATGAACAGTATGCGGAGGTTATCTAAACCAAGCTTATATGTTTACGATGATGGGACCTCGGTCAAAAATGGGCACTTTTCCCGGTTTAACGAAGTGAGCAAGAAGTAAACCCACTATGTCCCTTCCGGAAGCCTGACTTGACACAGTGACTGTGACGCTCATGTGTAAGTTCACTTGTTTATTTTTCTCTTACTGTATAATAGGCTACCATGAAATTGACTTTCAGGATGTTCTGAAGGGAATATCTGTTAGTCATTTGGTGGCTTCTTCCTGGCTCAATATTTCGGTAATTGGTTCTGCAGGTTATCTTCATGGTATTAATAGCATAGGCTTTACGATGTGACAACACAGCTTACTATTGTCGTCCTACGGGACCTGTTCATGACTGTACGATGCTGTTCGTTATTGCCATTGGTGTAGTGTCAGTCTAACATTGAGGATTTTGTTTTGCAGTGAACACAAAACTATGATAAACACTTTCTTCAGAGACCGAAAGTGCACTGATAATATGCTTGTTTTAAGCATGAAATTAACTGTTTAAGCATTGTGTTGTCACAAACCTTTTCTTTTCTTATGATGGCTTTGGTTCAGAACAAGGAAAACTTACATCATCAGTTATATAATGAATAAAAAGTATAATTTTACAACCCAAAACAATCAGATGTGTTGCTAATGCTTATTTGTTGCCTTCAGGTGTCATGACTGTGGACTCTCTGGCCCCCCCCTTATTTTTTAGATGCCATTTATATCTCCTTTTTGTACTTTTCCTTTGGTTTGAATCTGCTGTATTCTTTCCATTAAGGGGAGACAGTCTCTTACTCTAAGCAATGCTGTGGCCTACTATTGTGGTCACTTTTCCTAACCCATTAAGTCGGCTTTCAGAGGAAGCAGACTTTGTATTTTAGTAGAGGACAAGGCTCAATTCGCTCTTATGGTTGCCTTGCAGTCTTGATTTTTTTTTGGGGATCTTTTCATCCTGTATCCTTAACTGCTTCCTCCACCAAAAGTAGAAGCCACATTGAGGACAATGTGTTCCTTCCACCCCTTCACCCTTCACTCCTTTATTTCGTGTTTCCCTTTGCCTCTCTTCCCCTAACAAGCAGACTTGGTTGTCATCTCCCCTCATTCTTTTTTTTGTGTCTGTTCTTCTGAGGATCTGGGCTCGCTTGTGCTTTGTTAATCAGTTATAGCATGTCTCTGGGTGCTATTAGCCCACTCAAGACTGCCTACACTGTACGTTGATGGCCATGGTACACAAATACACAGCTCTGTATTACCCACTTATTGTCCTCTCTGCGCTTCATAGGAGAATCCAAGCAATCTCAGCTGGGGGAAAAATATGATCAGACATGTGAAGGCATCTCTGAAATAAACTGAGCGTTGATTCACTCGAGTAGAAACATACACGTGTGGAGCCAGAAAGAACATACATCAATTTGTTGTACATACTTAACACTTATGCTGTGACCTATTTTTAATATAATTTATTCACACTTTGTTGCGTAGTGTGCAGAAAATGATAAGGGGATCCCTCCTCCTTATGGCAGCATACTTTCAAACCTGCACCCTTGGGCATCGTCGTTAAACACACAGGTAGATAACAGCTGACTGACCCACCTGGAATTTTTTTTCCACTTTGTCCGAATACACACCATAAATAATACAACACCTCCAGTGGGGAATGTGTGAGACGATGTAGAATTTAATATCGAGCTGGCATAGTGGGTGGCATTAGAGTGCCTCTGTGTAATCCGGCTCTGTTTAAAGAGCAGCACATTTCAGCGGCCTCCTCGCTGAACTCTGAGCAGAGTTAAGCTGCGACACGGCCAGTGCATGTAATCGTATCACACTCCTGCTAGAGAGGTGCATTTTTAATAAATGTGTTTAATCTCACTCTCTGTCTCCCCTTCTCTCTTTGCCCTCTCTATCCTTCTCTTCCTCTCATGTTCCTCACTCAAGTCCCCCCTCAAGTCCCCCCTCAAGTCCCCCCTCAAGAGTCAGTCATGAGCCCTCCACGCCGATCATCCAGTTCCCATGGTGACAGGTAATTCCCTCGAGCGCTTAATTCCCCTACATGTGACATTGTGCTTGTGTGTCATAGTCGGAACACTTATGCATACACGCACAACAACATGAAGCTAATAAGACATGCACACTTGCTGTTGATGCAAGAAGATGCTTTTTTATTCTGAACCTTCTTTGAGAAATTGCAAGTCAATGCTGTGACTGTGTGGGATTCCGATGAATTTGACAGTCTTTATTTAATTATTTGTTTATTTGACGTGGACATACAGTAACATTGGTGTTGTGACATTTAACCATGCACAAATCCCAGATGCACTGCTCTTAGTCTTTTTAGCAAAATGCTAATTTACAACACCTGTCCACCGGAGGCTTTTGATTTATGACAGGCATACGAGACAACACTTAGTATATTGTTCCCCTTCTCAAAGTTCAATAGGGAATAGAACATGTTATATAATCCAGTTATATTAACTAAGGGAGAATTTTATTTTTGAGAGAATACTGCACACTACTTGTGGGACTCACCAGATGCCCCACGATACTATATCATCACGATACTTGAGTTAAGATAGAATATCATTGCATCTTTAAACATTTTGCGATAAGCTGAGAATTGCGATACAATATAATGTGATTTTACTTCTTTAACTGCATATTGTGTCCACAAAATTGAACGAAATCAAGAACTGTTTTGTCAAATAAGAAACAAATCTATTCATCTCACTCCAGTATTTTTAACTTCTACACAATGGGAGTTAAGCCCACAGACTGACCAACACTGTGATAAAAGTAAAACCCTGTAAAAGGTCGCATGCACCTCACATTCTGAATATGTTATATTTCAGTCCAATCGAACTTAACTGAACACAAACACGTATGGACGACTGTAAAATTGCATTAATTTTTTACAGTGCAACTTGTTCAAATTGAATTGTGCAATCCATTCATCAATTAAAAACTAAAAAAGCATATTAGCTATTAATATAATAAAAATATTGATACTTGGCGGTCATGAATTGATATAATATCCCAAAACAAAATATCAAGATACTATGCTATACAGATTTTTCCTGCACCTCTACTACACACCAGGAAGGGGGGGGATTTAAAAAAGCTACAAAATTGACATCAGAACATAAAATAGAGTTAAAACAGAGAGAGAGGGCAAACCTTGGAAATAAACCGATCCTGAATATGCTATCTTCTTCCTGGACAGATGTGTTTTAAATCCATTTTACACTTCAAAGATGTTGCAAGACATAGCTGAATGCAATACATGGAATTCATGTTGGACATTGCTGTAATACAAGAGGCATTGTCTTGCTTTTTGCTAAGATACAAAATACAAGCTCTTAAACTTTAAATATCAACTTTGATGGAAAAATGCCAGTTTTACCTTTAAATAATGCATTTGACCGACCGTATATGTGCATTAAATAATATATGATATTCATAAATGAAAAATGGAATATGAGGTCATCTGGTTCTGCCTTTTATGCCTGACTAACATTGACGCAGAGAATCACAAATCATATGTCATTTGTTAAAGCTGTTTGTTCAGCTTTGATTCACAGAACTGCTTCAGAGACAAAAAAGCGTTTGTAGAGCGAAGATTACACACCGTTTTTGTCCCAGATAAATAAATTGTTATCTGGGGATTACAGTAGAACATGTAGTCCCCCTGAACGATGATTGCTTGGATTGCACACAGTCTGTTCTTACTTATTATATAAACCTATAACTCCCCACTGATTCCAAACATATCCCCAGATATGGATTTCACAAGTCAACACAAACAATCTAAGATGCCTTGTTGTTGTATCTGTGTACTCTGTTATTAAGCCGGAATGTCAGCGTGTTGACCAGCAAGATGTTGTTCTCTGTTTCACCCTGCAGGACCTCCACAGAGACCCTGCAGAGGAACAACAGCAGCAACTCTGGCGTTATTCTGGACATCTCTGCTCTCAAGATGGCTGAGGTGGATACAGAGGTGCCTCCTCTTCCACCTCGCTACCGCTTCAGGGACCTGCTGCTGGGGGACCAGACATTTCAGAATGATGACAGGTAGCACTTGAAAAACGGTGTTAGTTTATGTACTACCGAATGTGAGAGGCTGCTCAGGGATAAAGAAAGGGGGCCTTTTTGTTTGTGTGTTTGCCCATACATTTGACTTAATGTTCAAATCTCCTTGGACACTTGAAACACTGTTTCCGAAAGCTCATGATACTCCACACTTTGTGCTCAGTGTTATGGGCTACGATGCAACTATCCCTCATGCTACCTCATCCACTTCTGCTTCAATTTCTGGTTTTTCTACATTTCCCAGAATGACTTCTCACGACAACCCCCCAGAGATGCGGCAGGACTTGTTTTCAGCTGTTGGTTTTATGTGTAGGTGTATACAGCAGTGGAAATAGAAACAGTGCAGTGAGAGATTTTGTAGTGAAAAAGTGAGAGTCTTACCTTTTGCTCAGACTCTGTGGCCGCAATTCATTTGTGCCGTAAGACTGTCAACAGAGAAATATCTGCCTCTGTAATAATGAATCTGATCTTTTTCATGGTAAAATTAGTTCAGTTTAAAAATAAATATTTTCTCATACATATGAGCAACACACAGAAAACAGGCCTATAATTGCACGGTCTGATTGCTTTAATAAAAGTGTGCACAGGATTTCTCTTTAATCGGATAATTGTTACGCTAGACTGCATTTTCATCTTACTCTGAGTTGAGCATGAAATGGCCCATCCCTTGGCCCCTTAACTGGTGCTACATCCATCGCTTGAGTGTTTGGCAGTCTCCTAAGAGTTCAATTATTGCTGGTGAGGCAGACCGACAGATGCAGTTTGCCGCCCAGAAGGGAGAAGAATTAGCCGAGCGTCAACCACTGCTGAGTACTGTGGAGCTCTCCATGGTGCTGAAATGAAGTCGTCTCACTGCGGGATCTGGTGTTACGTCAGTGTTGTTCTTTCAGAGAGAGCATGTCTTCAAAGCTTCCTCTTGATTCGTGATTAAGCGTAAACTTAAGATTGACATGTGATTCATTAACTTTATCACATCGTCACATCTGCCTCACTGTGTTTGTCGAAGGTTCTCCTTAAGATTGTGCAGTTAGCTGCTGTGGTCCATTAATAAAAGCAGTGGCCTGCAGCCAGCCTGGGGCTGTTTGACATTTCAGACATGGTTGATTTATGATCAAGACTTTTGCCGTAAGGACCAAGTAGTAAGCTTGTTTTTAAAGAAACCGATGAAAGATACGATACTCAGTGAGCTCATGTCATGTGGAGAGGTCAGTTCAACCATAGTTTTATCTATCTATGTAAACACTTTAGTTGCACTTGTTTTTTATTAGTTATTTACCACTAAAATCCACCTCCCATAGGGTCCTGTAATAATGTTTACAGACCTGTAGAAATTATACAGTGATAAATATAGACCTGCAGAGTATGAAAAAAGATCGTCAACATTGTTGAATGTTGCAATGAAAATACGACTTTGTCTGAAAAAACAAATATTGAAGTGTGCTGCATATTAGCTTTATTAGCTTTACACTTTTTTCCCCTGCTTTTTCATATCCCAATGAGGATGAAATAGCATTAAATCATTCAGCACTTCAATCTGCACAACCTGATGAATGTTTCAACAACATTAAACCGACAGTAGCATCACAATACTCTCTTGGAAAACATGGCTTTGTGTCTCATGTAGTGAATAAGGCTTACGTCATTGAACAAACAATGCATCTAATTGTTTGTGTTGTTAATTTGCAAAGCGGTTCCCATCTTTAACAGCCAATTGTATTGGTGGTTGAGTCTGGCAGAAAGCAAATTGTGTATGTTATCTCTCCAATCCAGGCATTGGATTGTTGGCTAGAGCAGCCATTTTTCACCACAAAGTCGATAACAGCCATGGTTGGATTTTATGTTTTGAATTTAGCTCATTGATGGTTGTCCTGTATGAAAATATATCTGAATATCATCATGGCATGTGAATTTAAGATATTGTTTTAATTGAAGTAAATATGTTACTCATGTTTGCTACAATCCTCTCTCCCTCACTCAGTATCTATCTTTCTGTTTACTTGCCCTCCCTCTCTGGGACTCCCTGCAGAAAATTGCTTTCTGCAATTGTCACTTTGTTGTGTAGCTGTGCAAGGCCTTTTGTCTGACACATAGCATTTGGTGCAGCGGTTAACAAATTCCCCCACACACATTGCTCTGTGTGCTTTCTCATGGGATGCACTGATTAGTATGCATTGTATGACAGACCCATATGGTTTTGTTTTCTTAAGCTGCCTGCCAGTGTCATCAGGACTGTTGACATGTAAAACAACAAACACATTTGGCCAAGAACAAATAGAGCAACACCGACATACAGGATCGTTTACACTACAGATTAATTACATGGAAATGAAGTCCACATGCTGATTCGACAGACTAGCACATGTATGCAGCTTCATGTAGACCTTGAGATATGCAGATCAGACTATTTCGATCGGTATTGTCTTGTATTGTGTGTAAAAGTGGGTTTGTGTGTAGTAAGTCACCTCTGTGTGCATGTTTCATTATGAAGGTCCCCCATGAATTGCTCTGCAAATCACTATTAGACAGAAAAAGGTAATTAGGGTTTGTTGCTGGGCTACTTATGCACATGCAGTGGAGTATGTGTGTATTTGTGTCCACTTACGTGTATCTATGTATATGCATTCAAGGTTTTATCAAAAAACGACATGATTCACAGATTTGTAAGTGAAAAAAACAGCAGAATTGTTTCATCACAACACATAAAAGCTGTTTGCTGCAGCTTCTCACACACACCTCTGTACAATGAGTGTTAAATAAGCAAATGAAGTTGCAGAAGAGGAGAACACCATTATTGATAGCATCTTATGGCGCCGCTGTAATTGCTAGTTTACGAGCTCTGGAGTGGAAACAGAAGCAGATCATCTCACTGGGCTTTGGGGACATTTTATTTCTCGGTTGATGATCCTGTGTGGATGCCCTGTCGAGTGTAAAGCCTCCATACAAATTAACCCCCTCAGGGAAAGTCAGACCCCCCGTCTCATATTCTGCCCTTATGGCCTTTGCATCTGTTTCCTAGCATCCGTCAAACAGGGCAAGGGTTTCAAGCACTCTGGCAGTGATAGTACACAAAACAGAACATTTCTAGAAGGAATTCCTGAGAGGCAGTGAGAAGAAAAGACAGATGCTCAATAAGATGCACCAAAGAGTTGTAGCTGGGGGTCGAAACCAAATGCATTTGAAACTGCAATGGCCACAGGTAGCATTTATTTTGGTACAAGCACAACATGCATTTTTAATATTTGTTTTCTTTTTAATGATAAGGCTGAAAGCCTTTAGTGAGTCTATGGAGCTAGATTCGTGTCAAATCTCCAGAGAGCAATTAAACATACCCACAAGCAAATTCTATTGTTTCACACGCGCAATTATTAACTGCCACACACGTAATAAAACTCTTAGTGCACAAATTTATCAACAGAGCGCTGCACAGGCAGCTGTGAGGGTGAAGTAAAACACAGGTAAGGCAAAGAATGTCACTGTCTGCAGGACTGCAGCTACTCTCTCTCTCTCTCTCTCTCTCTCTCTCTCTTATATTAAGTACCATACATTCTTAAATTAGGATGGATAGTGAACACAAGACCTTTTTCTTTGACATTTACATCTTAAACATTTTTCTTGAGTATGGATATTGTAGCACAGTGGAACAGTGGGTGTTTTTAGGGGGCAGCTGCATGGGTTTATGGCCGGTGGGGGCCAAAAATGCCAGGGCAGATTTTTTTGTTCCAGTCCAGCCCTGGCAATAGGCAATTACCAAGGTATATTTTTTTTAAATGATCAATTAGAAACATGTTGCCTAAAATGAATAAATAATTGTGATCTCAGTATTCATCAAAGTAATTGTGATTTTCATTTTGTTCAAAACCATGCAGCCCTGGGGTAAAGGAAATAAAGACTAAGTGAGGAGAAAAAAGTGAGAAACAATACAAATGATACTGTGTAGCAGAATGTAGTTCTTTTATATGTCTTCTGCCAAGGTCTCGCTTCAAGGAATGGAATAAATCATTTTGAGTTTTTGCATTATTATCTTTACTGTCCTTCCAATGAGGAACTTTAGATGGTAAGCTTTAACTTAGTATTTGTTTACAGCCTGACGCTGCTTGACCTAAGAGACTTTCTGGTGTCTTCAGATCTCAAAAAAAGTAAGACAGGGTCCTGGAAATATACATTTTTTGCTGCGTTTTTTTGCAACATATAATAAAATTCCAAGGCCAAATTCAAGTTTCTCATTGTGTATCACTGCTACAGAGTGATAATAGTGATAATAAGCCCTTCTGTGCTGTCAGGGTCTGGGTGTCCTTGTGTTTCCGTTCATCTCTTTGTGGATGTGGGCGAACAGTGTGCAGGGAAGAGGGGGGGGGGGGGTCTCCCTCCTGAGCTGTCATTATCTCCAGGGTTGGGTGTCAGAGGGCTGTTATGACTGCTTGGCTGTGTAGGAGCTGAAGAGGAGCAATCACGCTGAAGTCATTGGTCTAACAAGCCAATTGGTCTGTGTGTGTGTGTGTGTGTGTGTGTGTGTGTGTGTGTGTGTGTGTGTGTGTGTGTGTGTGTAATTGTGCAGGTGTTGGTATATGTGCTCTGACTGTGGACACACAGGTATGTATGCACCTGTGAGTGTCTGATTATACATTTGAGTGTGTGTGGGTTTGTTTCTCAGTCTGCCAGTGGGTGGGGAGAGAGCGGGTACTGTCTCCGTAAATGTCAGAAATAGAAACAAGCCAGTGAAATGACAACAGAGCAGAAGGGAGAAAATTGGTGCTGAAAATCTTTCCTCTGTGTATCCAATCTTAATTTGGGGGGGGGGGGGGGTTCTTGTCTAATCAAGGCAGGATGCAGATGGGAATACTATCGACAGAGTGAGATGTGGTGATTGGTCACTAAATCAACTCTTAACACTGCTTGTTAAATGCTTGCACTTACAACGGCGACCCAGCAATGACGCAAATCAACAAGCAACAGTCTCACAAATGGATCATTCCAAAATGACT